CGCCGGCGAGGGCGCCCCGAGAGTTAGCGCGGGGCGGGACCGGCAGGCGGGCCACGGCCTAGGGCGGGGGACTCGGGGGCGCCGACCCGGCTTCCTCCTCCTCCTCCTCCGTCAGGGCACCTCCGGAGTGCCGGCGTCCCCGCCAGGGTTCAGGGAACCGGGGCGGGGCGGCGGGAGGAGCGGGGTCCAGACGCCTCTTCCCCCGCCGCTGGGGGCTCCGGTTGCGCCCAGCCCCGCGGTTTCCCCGCTTCCACGCCTCCCTCCCCAGGTAGGACCGAAGGTCCGCTCTAAGGTCCTGGGGTTCCCAGTGTCCCCGCGCGCGTGGGACTCCATGGCTCGAGGGCGCCACCTGAAGGTGGAAGGGAAGCTTCTGACAGACCCCACCCCACCCCCCGTGTTCATCTGTGGGACACAGGAGAGGATGCACACCCAACAGGAGTGTTCTGGACTTTCCCGCTGGCCATGCACACCCTCACCCTCCATGGCTCAGGTGCTAGACCCCTAGCTTCCTCGCACCCTCTCGCGTACCCCAAGAGCCACAGCGCCACTTCCGGTTTTCTGGTGGTTAATTGGAGATAAGAGTCTCATGGACTTTCCTGCCCAGGCTGGCTTTGAAGCATGAGCCTCAGATTTCAGGCTCATGAGTAGCTAGGATGACAGGCGTGAGCCAGCGGCACCCAGCTCAGGCTCTCTCTTTGCCTCTGCTCACCCTCCCTGAGCCCTGCCATCATTATCCCCATGGACAGGGGTGGATACAGGCTCAGAGAGCCCAGGAGACTCACCTGCAGCCAGCCCCTGAATATTCCTGGACACCCCATGCTCTTTAGACCAAGCCACTTGGTTGTGATTGTGTAGGGCCAGCCTCCTCCTTCAACCTGGCAGCTCTTAAGAGAACAGGGCCTATGCAGGACACCCCCAGAATACAGCATGCTGGGTGGATGAGCAGGTAGTGAGTGGGCGTGACCCTTTCTTGCTATGGTGTATTAAATTGAGCACAGACTTCAACTAGACACTTCCTTTGGAGGGCCCAGGCCAAGCCCAGGAAACTCCATCGAAGGAGCTGGCTTTCCAGGAGAATTCCATGGCAGGGCTTCAAGTGAGCCCCCTTGCATCTATTTTTGAACTTCTTGTCTACGTCTGTCTCTAGGAATCAGGACTGCAGGATTCAGGGCCGTGGGCCAACTCTTCATTGCCCATTAGAGTCTGATGGACCTGGCTTCAAAGGCCTGTGCTGTTGACACTCAGGACCTAGGAGAGCTGAGAGCACCCTGGAAGAAGGGGGTCTGTTTCTCTTCCAGCTCTCTAAAGGCCTGGCAGGTGGTGAGGGTCTCCAAAGGGAAGCTAGCCCTGCCACCAGACTCTTGCACACCCAGTGCCACCACTTACAGCCTTGTGGGCCTTGAGCTCCCCTTGTGGAGCTCAGTACCTCCTCTGCAGAAGGGATGTAGTGCAGGAATTCCATGAGACCCTTCCTTAAAGTCCTCACAGGTCCTTTCTTGCCCTACCTGGTCCTGCTTCACAGCCTGTGCCTTGGCTGTACTGCTTGGGACATTATCTTCCTGATATCTCCAGCACTCACTCCCTTGCCTCAGGTCTTCTACCACAGGCCATCTGGGATCTCAGATCCCAGGCCATCCATAAAAAATTTGGTGAGTGCCAGTGGCTCATGCCTGTAATCCTAGCTACTCGGGAGGCTGAGATCTGAGGATTGCAGTTCAAAGCCAGCCCGGGCAGGAAAGTTCATGAGACTCTTATCTCCAATAAACCACCAGAAAACCAGAAGTGGTGCTGTGGCTCAAGCGGTAGAGCACTAGCCTTGAGCTGAAGAGCTGAGGGACAGCATCCAGGCCCAGAATTCAAGCCCCACAACCATTAAAAAAAAAATTGGTAGGTTGAAGATGTAGCTCAGTGGTAGAGCACGTGCCTAGTACACACTTGGCCCTAGATTTCATCCACAGCAAAGGAGGGAGTATGCATTATCATTTGCTGAAAGAACATGGTGGCACTTACTTGTAATCCCAGCACTTGGGAAGTTGAGTTCAAAAGATGTAGAATTAGAGGTTTGATCCTTTTACCTAGTATAGTTTGCT